ATTTTATTTATCCTCTTCTTCCTAGCACATGCTTCCCTAACACGCTCCAGACACAGGTGATGGCTGGCAGCTCCAATCTGGAGATAGCTTGTGTTTACCCCTCTACCAACATAGCAGAAGCCTCTAAAAGAAGCAAGGTTGCCTAACTTCCAGCTGATTTTACAGGCTCTTCACTACTGTGTCTGGATGCTAGCACAAGCAGCTGGGAACAAACAGAATTAGAAACATAACCCCAGCCAATTCTAATCAGAATACTTTACAGAAGTGTACAGTTTGCCAATTGTAGCATCTGCCACAGGGTACTGAGAAACGAAATTTACTACCTCTGCAATTATCAACCACTTTGCTCTGCAGTGTGGAAATAAGCAACAGTATCTTCACAGTGAGAAGACTACTGTGTGAATGTAAATAGACAAATATAGAAGATAGGTGCTACATGTAAAGACTTGACAGTGTCAGTTTAGCTTTGTAAACTGATTGAACAGCTGCTGGCTCAATGGCTATTTTCTGTAACTTTCCATAAAATATTAATTAATATTCTCCTAGTAATGGGGGGCAGAGCATTGTAAACCCAATGGGAGAGTTAACTGGAAATCCAAAATTCCAAAAGAAATGCAGAGGTGACCACGAGCTCAGTTCCCAGCTTCAGATGTTGCGATCCCTTGCACTGCATTGCACCACCACTCAAGTTTGGCCCAGCCACACTTCTATAGAGGAGTAAGGATGCACAAAATCTGAGTGGTAATGTAACACCATGTACAGATCACAATTCCTGGAGCAGGAAGCCAGGCCCAGAACCACATGAAATGAAGCACCCCTGCATGGTCAGTGTAAAGTAGGCTTGCTTTCCACAGACCACCCATCTATAGTCTCCCAGTCTCTTCTTTCCGTACATTTTTTCCTTGTACCTCTGCCGCAAAAAAATATTAAAAACATACGTGACAAAATCATAGCTCTACTGGTAAGACCCCGCATAAACTACCACATCCACTTCCAGACACCTCAAAACTGGAAAAATGTTGATAAATCAGAGACAACTTAGACAAGAGCAGCAAAGTGAGTGAAAGGCCAGAGACACTGAATTAACTATTAAAAACAACAAAGCAGTCTTATGGTACCTTAGAGACTAACAAATTTATTAGGTCATGAGTTTTTGTGGGTAAAACCCACTTCATCATGAAAGCTCACGACCTAAAATGCCACAGGACTGCTCGTTGTTTTTACTGTTACAGATTAACATGGCTACCCCTCTGAATTAAGTATATAGTTTGGCTAAATTATGATTGAGGAATATAACCCTCTACAAGAAGTCTTGAGTATAAAAAGCAGAAGGAAGTTTTTGCTTATGGTTGTTCTAAGAGATATAACTAGCAACTACAGGATGAAATAAGGAAAATGGAAAGTGTCTTGGCTTAGGAACAATCTTTAGATGTGTGTATTGGTCAGCATCAAACAAGCCTTTTGTGATATATAAATAAGATGAAGATCAAACTAAGCTTGTTGCTATTATACAGCGTTATCTAAAGTATCACAAAGGAAGCAGCAAAGAACCCACAGATTAAGAGATTTTAAATGTTTCTGAGAATATTGCCTAGGAAACAATTTTGCATTAGATCAGTGGTCTTCAAACTTTTTGGCTCATAGCCTACCCCGCTCAATGAAAACCTTTTTGTATACCACCAGCCAACCACTCATGATGACAAAATGCCTATGTTTATTTCTAAATACTTTAAATACTAAATTATTCATATTAGGCTATTGGAGCTATAGCATAAGTGGCCCCCAATCCTTATTGATGTGGCCCCCAACTAAGACACCTCACTTCCCAGGTGCTCCAGCCCCCGGGAGGCGGGGGGGGGGGAAGGCAGGGAGGACCAAGGTTCAGAGCTCCCCACTCTCCAGAATAACTATTCTAGCGTTAGTAGATTTTGTGAGTCCTCCTAGGCCCTGGGATGGGGCCAAAAATGACAGGTCCACTGTGTGGGAAGGAGCTGCGAAGGAGAGGGATGGGGATGCAGGAGGAGATGAGGGGCTCAGTGAGAGGTAGGGTGCAGGTGCAGGCTGGAGACAGGGTCATCTGGAGGGTGCAGGAACAAGGATGAGTGCAGTGTCTGGCCAGGAGGGAGGGTTCATGAGAACCACTGCATCAGATTAGCAGTCACAGGTACTGGGTTAGGTTTTCGTCTCCGGTTGAGGATATTCCCGATCAGCAATGGCGCTGCAGATTTTAATGGGACTTCCCGCATTGTCACTTCTAGCAGGAGTTACACTGACTGTAGGCGCAGCGTGTAGACAAACCCCAGCCAAAGCCCATGTGCAAACATCCCAGCCACAGGCTGGCACC